ACACAAATCTAGCCAATATTTGCTAAAAGTATAAGGCCAGCTATGCTATACAATATTTTAATGCGTAAAACAGAACATAGGCTATTTGTTGTTTTGTTGTTAAAATGAACATTTATAAATATTTAATAAACATTTGATATAATATCAAAACAACATTTAGCCTATCAAATTGTCGAGGTTTCATTTCTGCACCATGAGAGCGGATGGATCCTATGCAACACTTTAATATATAAAATCTTTTTTTTAATATATATTTTATAAATTTATATATATTATAATTTATTTAAATCTTGAATTTAAGCTGTCTATTTAAGCCGTCTGTAAAAGAGTTGGCTAGTAGCCTAACCATTTTTTGGCGGATTGATTACCATTTGTATAACCACAGTTTTACTACAAATACCATGGCTAAACTATGGCTAATAGCAAACCTATGGTTAATTTGGTTTGACTAAACATGTTTTTTTTTTAATGTTCCTCTTTTTTAATAGCCTAAGTAAAGTTAAATCAAAATTAATTTTCGTCAGGGCAGATAATTAAACAGTTTATATTCAGCAGTTTGAGATTTAGTACGCCAATATTTTTTCAATCAAAATATATAAACATAGAACAACATATTAAGCATAAAAAACATTTAACTCAATGGCAGAAGCGAATTTAGAGTGAATTGCTTTACAGTAGCCAATGTGTGATTCTTGAAAATAAAACCCATTTCCTTCCCTAATTGTGAATACTTGCTTACATCATTGACTAGGCTATATCTCTCACATAAAAAAACAAAAACATTTTTTTTCTAAAGGTAAGTTGTTTAATGTTTACTTTATATTAATATAGCCTAGCTAGTAAACAAATAGTTAAAATTAAAATATTAAATAGATTAGATTAATCATATATTTGTCACATATAAAAAAATAATCAGTCAACTGTTTCTCTAAATCTAAAGGTGTTATGAGTTTTATCACAGAAATATGAAAATAGCAATTATTAATGCACATTTTAAAAACAATCTTATGTTCTGATAATTCTGTTCTTATTTTTTAAATTGTTTGTAACATTGAGGGTCATTAAGGACATTATCAGTTTTCCTTTTCTCCATGAACAGGCTTTATATCCATTCTCTTGAATTGCTCAATAAAGGGATATGGTTCAAGTTTGAAGTGCTGTTTTGAGATTTTGAGAAACCACTCGGTTTCCTATAATCTTAGCGAGCCACCTGGAGCCTTCTGCACACCAACATGGTCAGCAATGGTGAGTACTGATCACTATCTCAATATCTTCAATATCTTCAGAGTCATAAACCATTTGGTACCAGGCATTGTGGTAGCCTATGCACTAAAGGGTTAGACGGGCAAAAAAAAAGTAATAATTGACTCACCCTCATGTCGTTCCAAACCCGTAAAACTTTTGTTCATTTTCAAAACACAAATGAAGATCTTTTTGATCAAATCTGAGCTTTCTGTCCCCCTGTTAACAGCTACGCAACTATCACTTTGACGCTTCAAAACTGAATTGAGCGGTTTAGTCCATATTTTCTAAAGAGACTTGATGGCTTTATATGATAAACAGATTAATTTTAGGCTTTTATTCACAATAAAACATTGATCAGTTAACATAAACAGAAGCTAGAGATATATAAAGCAATCACGTCTCTTCAGAAAATTTTGAATAAACCGCTGAATTCATATTAGTTTTACGATCTCTTTGTGAATGTTTCGAAGGAATAAAGTGGTAGTTGCGTAGATGGTCAGTAGAGAGACAGACATCTCTCAGATTCCATTAAAGAGATGTTCATTTGTGTTTCGAAGATGAACGAAAGTCTTATGGGTTCGGAACGACATGACATTAGGGTGAGCAAATGATCACAGAATTATCATTTTTGGGTGAACTAACCCTTTAAGTGTTTTTTAGTTTGTAATAGTCTGAATATTGGTTTAAAATAGACACGACAATGGCTGTGGACTCAAGTAGGAAGTCCAAAAGATGACCTTTGTTAAAAGTAAGAAACTCCCTCAGAAAATAGAATATAAAAATGAAACTATATTTTCCTTGCAAGCACATGACAAACCAAATTTATTCAATGTTTAAAAATAATTTGCGAGCTCCCAATTTATAGCACAGAGGATGTATAATTGTGGTCTAATTTTCAGCTCGGTTTGAACATTGAAAGTTATACAGATTTAGAACAAAATGAGGGTGATTAAATCACAACAGAATTTTCATTTTTGGGTGAGCTATCCCTTTAATTCACTTAATATAACATTTGTTTAACACAGTCATGAACAAACAGAAAGTCTGGAGGATACAGAGCACAGACACAAACACTTCTGGTCGTTTCAAAAGACAATCAGAAACATCGTGAACACATCAAAAACACATTGTGTTTGTGTTTTTTTAGGAATTTGTTGTGGTTGATGAACATGGAAATGTGGATGAGACGAAGGTAGTATATCTTGAACCCCAGAAGTTGATTATCAAAGGAAACATTGGTGAAAAGGCCAAGCAGGTCACATACCGAAAGGACTGTCCACGCACTGGGGTAAACATCAGCATTATGGGCCTAGCCTAAATAGGATATTTTGAATTAAATATGAATGTTGTTATGTTTAGTCTTCAGAGATTGTGTTTCTCTTCTTCTCTCGGTGTTCCTCTTTCTTTTGATTCAACAGCATGCTTACACTGCAGAATGTCATGGTAAGTTTGTCTCAAGTGCCTTAATATAAGGGTTATGTTTTGAATTCCATGATTTAAGATCATATTCAACAAATCAACATTCAAACAATGTTTTAAAACACGCGTGACACCATCACACACTTTTATATTTTTGATAAAGCAAAGTCTAAGCTTTCAAATGATGTCTTTTTTATTACAATATTCAAATATCACCTGTCATACAATTAGTGCTTCAACCCTAGACAAAAAACAGCTTATATGAACAGTGTCATCTTGCTAGAAAACCTAGAGAAGAGCATATCGCAATAATTGTACATATATTGTTAAATATATGCACTAAATTATAAATGATTTTTTTTTTTTTTTTTTTACTTATGTATTAAATATATGTTATAAAAAAATATTGATTTTAGCTCGGTTATGATTGTCAAGTTGCTTTTCGGATTTCACACATCAGTTCTGCTTTTAACTTGAAAAAATGCTTAGTCAACCATGGACACAGGAATCATCTCAAGAATGGCTTTCTTACAATCTTGACTTGCAGTTTTTTTACTCTCCATTCATGTCACAATACATTGGAACAGATGAACTTGCAGTTAGATTTTCTTCAAACAGTCAATTCTTTGGTAGAAAGGTTCAAGCTCAAACTAGGTTGATAACCTTTTTAAAAGAAAGACAAAAAAACGGGAAGAGAAAAATACAAAATCTAGTTACAATCGGACATCTTGACATTGCATTACAAAAATATACACATTCTACTAGACATTTAAATTCATATGTACATCGTATATACTCTTAATCATAATCAAGTAAAAATATCTTATCAGAAAATAAGTCAATCAAGCTTCAAGCAGTCATCCTACCAGCAGCGTCTCGGGTTGATTAGTCACTGATGCGCATCCGATTTCTGTTGTATTTCTCTCTCATACCTCATAACTTCAAGTTACAAAGCTTTCCCCTTTCTTCAAAGGGAAGCAAGCTGGAAACCCCACGGGACAAGCGGTGTTCTCACCCCTCTCGTTTCTGCCTGTGTTTGGTCTTTACTGCGCTCTTATGATGAATCAATCTCTATCAGGTGCGCTCGCAATCAGAGTTCGGCTTTTTCCGACAGATTCCGGATGACGTCACCCGGAAGACGGCGCTCTTCGTTACTTTCCGTAACACCATCTATGACAGTCATTTCGCCATAAACCTCTTTTCTTCATTAATTTCTCAAGTAATATTTACAGTCACATAAATACGTGTTTTAACTTCACAATGATGCTGTAAGAAATACACTGAACAACCGTATACTGCCATTGCTTACTTTAGGGGAAAGTTTGGGAATCTCCCAACATGCACAAACATCTCCCTCCCTATCCAGGAATTATTTTGCTGAATAATTATATTTTAAAAAATATTAATAAAAAAAAATAAAAAAAAGTGTGCCAGCAGCAACATTGAAGAATGTTGTTAAATGAATGCAGATTGTTACCATTTATGGTCTGATTAGAAGTTTGCCCTGGCGGTTAAGGCTTTTATGTTTACTGATGTATTAGATTTATTGTCTGATCTATTAGCTTTATTGTCTGATGTATTAGATTTATTGTCTGAGTAAAATCTCTGTTTTGCATGCCAGATCCTTGTGATGCTTTGGATGTGAACTATAGGTAAGATCAAATAAATGAATTTTTATGTTGCATGTAATGGATTTATGAGTAGTTTGAGGCTCTTGCTACATTACAATATGTGCTATTTAGAGAACAATATTTTTGGGAAAGGTTTCGTGGTATTCTAACATTAGTGTTTCAGGAAACACAGGCTTAATCAGACTTGATTATGTAAGTTACATACTCACGCAGAGATATTTATAATGTTACTTCAATTTGTCCTGCATAATCATTGTTGTATGCAGAATAATCAAATACTTATACTAGAAGAGTTTTAATCTTTTGTTTGATACAAAAGAGCACTGTTTAAGCATTGTTTTTTTAATATGAGAGAACTGTTTGTATACCTTTCAGTATACAGTATAGTAGGCATGTTTCCAACAGGGGAAAGCAGAGATTTAAAAATGTCAATAGCAATATCAATCTCATAGGCCAATTTTAATAGTTATAATGTGAAATAATTTTCACACTATTACTATTAAAGAATTGTAGTATTTTAGTATAGTATTTAAATAATTTTTACTATTAAAGATTTTTTGTCTCACCAGCTAAAATTTATTTTACACTGTTGGTTTTGTTGTTGCTTTTCGCAATAAATAAATAAATAAATGTGATTTTTCTTTTGCATGCGTAGAGCTGTAAGTTTTAAGTTTAGACTAAACCCTAGTTTATTTATCGTTTCTAGCCAGTGACACTACTCAAATAACAGTCAGAGATCATGGCATTATGTATACCATTGTCGGCATCATCACCATCATCATCATCATCATCATCACCACTGTCATCTGTCTCCAAAGAAATAAGTGCCAAGCTTTAAGGTAAAAAGTGGTTTTATAATATCACTGCAGAGAATAAAAAATATCTTAGATAGACCAGACTGTTACAGTATGTCACAATAAAAGATAAATCATATCAGAACTTTTGAACGCAATGCCATGAAAACCAAAGTGATACATTTCAGAGAACAATTTTTAAAACCTACAGCAGGTGTGCACATCCTTTTATAATTGGGTATGTGGTGGTGTTCAGAATTAATCATCAAACTCATGTAGTATTCTCTTTACCTGAATTAATTCCATATAAATCTCAGCAGTTCTCAAGATTTTTCTTGTAAGATCTTCTTGGTTCCATTCTAAAAGATCTGATTTATCTTTGTTATCACAAAAACTAGATGTTTTAACAGGGGTATGTAGATTTTTTATATTCCACTGTAGGCTATATCCCAATTCTGCTATTTTGAATGTTTTCAGGTGGATTTGGAAAGCAGTGCCAAAGAATGAAACCTCAACTGTTTAGGAGGTCACTGATGCCTCCAGAACAAGAACTATTAATGATAACACTTAAGGAAAATAAAAATTAAATTCTTGCTCACTTGCTCAGTAGGAGTGAGGTTTTTTTTTTTTTTTTTTGATAGTAAAAGCTGTGGAAGCTCATAATAATATTATTAATTGATTAATATATTATATTATATTAGCCTATATTATATTAGCCTATATTATATTATATTATATTATATTATATTATATTATATTATATTATATTATATGTAAGCAATAAGGTACGAGAGGCTGTGCTGTATCATGAATAAGTCACGGCTGAAGGGCGTTGTTAGGCACGACGCAAAGTGGAGTTTGCAAGGACTAAAAGTGACGATGATGAGCTAAATGACGAGCATGTCAGGGCACGGGAGAAGATATCGCAGCGCACTCAGTCTATATTGTTATATAACAATTAACCTATACAATATTAAAGTATTTTTAACAAATATTAATCACACTTGTTATAACATAAAATAACTATTACTGACAGTATATATATATATATATATCTAATATATATATATTCTTGTTATGTATCTATCTATATATAGGCTATATATATGGAATAATCTGAATCAGCATGTTTTCTTAAAAAAAAAGCATGTTATCTTTTATTAAAATATAAGCAGATGTAGCACTTTCCAACGTGCTTCTATTGAACTTATGTTGTGATGGGAGATAGTGTAGGCTATTGATTATTTTGACAAAAAGGAAAAAAGTTGATTTATGACTGATTAATGTCACAATTATGTTCAGTTAGTTTCACTTTCTAATGGACTTTTAGTTTGTTTATCGTCTGATTGGTAATAGCCTAAATAAAACAGCATTTGGATATTCATTTAATTATCAAAACTGATCATTATTGAGTTTGTTATCACTGAGTTTAAGTTAATCATTTCCTTTCTGTCTTGGGTCATTATTGTTTGTCATTTCCTATGTCTCGAGTTGGGTGCTTTTTTTTATTTTTTATTAAACCCTGTTACTATTTTCAAACTCTTAACCTGCCATCATCTTTTAACATTAAACATGACAGTTAAAGAGTCACTTTTGGTGAGACCATGCAATAAACAATTTTTCTATTTATGGAGCTTGTCGTGTTCATTTTTTCTTTTTTTGTGATTTTCGTAATTATTTTTTATTATTGTTGAGTACCATCATTGAGCTTTTATATCTACCGGCTCCAGGTCTACAGCCTCCCCAGAATTATTTATTAACACCATGAATAATGACTCCCGTATATGACTCCCCTATGGCTTGCACTCTTCTTTAACTGTTTTTCTATCCTCCTGTCAAAGTGCTCCTGCTGCTCACTGATAAATAAAATAAAATAAAATAAAATAAAAATTGATCTTGTCACTGTTGGATGTGTGTGGGTGTGCTGCCCAAAATTGATGTCAGGTGAGTGTGGATTGCATCAATTTGCTCCTGATCTTCAAAGTACAACGGCCACCCTTTAAGTGGGCAACAAAACCACCCTTTAAGTGCACATACCCTACATTTTAGTCCAGATCAGTAAGCTATTTTAAGAAAAATGTATATTAAGATATTAATTAGATAATTAGATCATCTCATTTATAAGAAACAACTCAAACCAGAATCTACATTCAAACCATATGGGAAAAGGGTTTAATGTATGACGTTGGAAATAATCAAAATATTTGAGTGTGTACACTCTTTACTTAGCGAGAGAGATTTACATACATAGGCCTATATGGCTATTATAAATGTGTCTTTTCACCATAGACTGTAAAATAAAACAAGTTCACATATTTCCAATATCTACTGTAATGTCGCCCCAGAAACCATGTGGAGTAGCCTATGTTTTAATGCAAGGAGTAAACAGGGTCTTACCAGAACAGGCCATCTCACACAAGCTAAAGACAGGCAAAAAAAGAAAATTCATTTTAAAAAGTGAGTAGATAATTAGGGGCAGCTAAACCTACAAGTGGTTATAGCTAAGTTTGAGCCAGACAGAACATCAACCTGACCGTCAATAACTTTTTGTCTCTCGAAATAAATTATAGACCCATCCATTGATAGAAATGAATTGATAGCTACCTACCCTAGCTTTATCTATCTAGTCGTTTATAAATAATACATGTTCAGATTATTTAACATACCTCAATTCGTGTCACTGTACAGCCTCCCCCTACTGGACGCATGAGGAACAACAGGGGCTTAAAACTGCCTGTGCCGTAGTATCTACCGGCTCCAGGTCTGCAGCCTCCCCCTATTTCCACTGCATGTTCGGTACGGCTCACTTTGGCGCTTTTCTCCCCCACCCCCAAAAGGAGTTCCTAGAACTAAAATCGTTCCTGCGAATGCGATGCGAACACGTCACGCCAAAATCCGAGTACTTTCCTATAGTTCTAGGAAAAGGTTCACCCGGTGCGAAGGATTACCGGTAGCACATATGAGGTCATAATGCGCAGACGTGAAAAGGTTATTCTGGACCAACATAAAGGAAACAGCTCAGTATTTAAAGGTAATTTCCAATTAATTGACGTCACAGAGTTTACCGGTATTTTGGTACTGATATGTGAAGATTGGTATCTTACCAGTAAAAAGTCTAAACATTCATGCAGGTTTTCTATGCAAAAAAACTGGGTGCCCAACGGCTTTACATTATATTCCGTTCTTTTGAAATCTTGAGAATCGTGATTTGGAATCATAGGGTGTCACTGGTAAATGAAGTCTGTTATTATGGGAAGTAGCCTACATTAATATGGAAATACTGAAAAAGGGGATAAATGCAGAAATGGACCTCTGCTGTAAGCACAGCCAGTTTCTTTGTTCTTGTGTGTTTCCAAACTTTTGTTCCAAGAATAACAAAATTTCAAATATATTCATTGTTTGGTGAGCAGATCACCGTGCTGGTTGATGAGAAGGGGAACATTTACCGTCCAGTTGTTTTGCATGCTGAACCGCAAAGGATTCTCACCATAGATTCTCAGAATAATGTCACATATCACACGGAATGTCTGGAACTTCGGGTATAGGCCAGTGAAAGATTTCTAATCTTTTTTTATGTACTTGTGTAACTAGACAAAACCATGTGTATTATGTGTATAATGTTTATATGATACATACCAATTCCACATAACAATGATAACTGATGATGCCTACTTTTTTAGTCTAAATGCCTAATGTTTGACACCCTAAATGTGCTGCATTTTTTGCCTTAGGTTTCCTTGGTGGTCAAATGCGACTGTGAGTAGCCTACTGCTTCTTTCTGTTCCTTAAAACAGCTTGGAGCTATTTTTTAGCACTACTCAGTGAGCTATCCTGTGATTTAGATTAATTGAGTGCAGTTTTTTTATTTTAATTTGTTAATTTAATAATGTTAATTATTAAATGGACCACATAAGCAATTAAGCATATGGTGATATGCTGAGATTATCCCAATTTACTCATATTTGGGGTAATGAACAATTTATACCTGGTAATAAAGATGGAGGATTTAAGTTATGGAATATAAGAGGCATTCAGAAAATGATGGATCTATATGAAGATGGTGTTTTACTTTCATTTGATCAGCTGTGCCAGAAATATACAATCCCCAAAAAGCATTTTTTAAAAGTATTTGCAGTTGAAAAGATACGTTATCAAAAGAAGAACAGATAATCTGTATGCCCTTTATCAAAATTAGAAGAAATAAAGAAATTTAGAAGGCAAGGGTCACGTTTCTGTGTACTATAATTTAAAGGGTCACTTCACCCATTTGCATTAAGGTTTGTATTGTTAGAAACCCAGTCATATATTATAATGATGGTGGAATTTTGCTTGTTTTTTTTCTGAGATGGGAGAAAAAAGGATTTAAGTGTTTTACTTCCGTCCTATCGTGACGTAAATATCGTCATTTTGCGTCACGATAGGACGGAAGATAAATTTCATTGCATATTAAGAAAACTACAGCCTTTAGCTCATTATTATTCAAGGGCGTGGGACCCACTCACCCCACCGGCCTATTACAGATCAGTGGGTGGGACTAAACCTGAAGAAACTAAACTATTAATCCGCCATCTTGCTTGGAAGACAGCAAGCTAAGCTAACAAGCAGTTAGATTTACCATAATGCCTGAATTTACGACACACGATATGGAAGACGAGGATTTTGAAAATCTTTTGCTCGAAACTGATGTTCGTGGCTATTTATACGAGCCACAATATAGCGAAGAGCAGCTGAGGCTCATGGAGGAACAAGAGGCGGCGTCGGCTGCGGCCGCCGCAGGAGACCAGCCCGGAGAAGCCCGGGCTTGCTCGCGCTGTAGCGAATTGGTGGTGCTCGTGCTGTAACTGTGCGCCTATGGACACCGAGCTAGAGTCTGTCTGCTGCAAATAATCTCTAAAATGCCAATTCCTTCTAGAAGAAATGTCAGAGGCAGACACGGACATGGAGTTTTGTGCACACGGACGTTTGTGTTGTGATGTGAACCATCCTAGTGTCGCACCCTATGTTCTGACTGGAACATCCAGGTATCATGCAATAATTCACCATATAGAAAGAAATACAAACGAGGAGTAGCTGCTAATTCGCTAATGAGTTTGCCAATGTAACGGGGTTCGTTGTTGTGGGAAGAATGAGACGGGAATCGGCGAACATTTAAACATTTTAATAGTAAAATAAACAAATACAAAACAAAAGTATAAGCCAGCAGCCCCTCAATGCTGGCCACACACAACAGAAACAAAACACACCATAAAATCAGGCCTGTTCCTCTCTCGATCTGCCCTGTCGCTCCTCGTTTTATGCGTCCGCTCCTCGGTGAGAGACGCGAGAGAGACCAGTGCGTCTCACAGGTGTCGTTCATTATCACTCACGCCACCGGCCTCGCGCCGCTCTCACGTCCCTCGTCCTGCTCGCCACAGCCAACTAACTATACATTTTGTGTGAAATGAATTTCTAACTCTGGTGGCAGCTAACGTTAGCCCTGTAGAGTAGACGAAAGAGTGATTTCTCTGATGTTTGCGACTTTGCGCTGTTCTGGATTAGTGGGAGTGGCTTGCGGAGCTGTGCAACGTGGTGCATTCTGGGAGTTGTGGTCTTACACACAA